AAAAAATTTAAAAATTAGCTGGGCATGGTGGTCTGTGCCCCTAGTGCCAGCTACTCAGGAGGCTGAGGCAGGAGGATCGCTTGAGCAGAAGAGTTTGAGGTTGCAGTGAGCTATAATAACGCCACTGCACTCCAGCCCAGGCAACAGAGTGAGACCCTGTTTCAAAAAAATAGGAAGGAAGGAAGGGAGGGAGGGAGGGAAAAAAATGGCTAGTGGTTTTATAAAATAAGAATAAAATGACCAAGAGGAGAAAGTACAACCAATTTTCAAAGTCATTATAAGAGAAGCAAGAGATGTAGGATACAGCTCATCAGAATCTCTGCTTGCAAATATGCAAGTCTTCATTTAGGTGTTTCTTTTCAATCTCAAATGTGTGTAGGGGACGGGGTGGTTACTGGAGAGAGAGTTGAAGGGAAATCTCCATCTCTTGCCTCCTTAGTTAGCTGAGACAATACAGGGAGAGACAGCTCAAATGCCATCTACTTCGCTCTTTCCTAATGTAGCAGGGATTACCTCAATCTCCTCCAGCAAGAGTTCCTCTGTTTTGTTACATTTTTTCTGGGTCTGGGCAATCTGCAGCTCAGTATTTTTTTTCATATACTGATTCTCCAAGTTGGTTTTTGCCTTCGTCTCTTGCAATTGGTCTCTGAGGTGAGCAATATATTCATTCCGATTCTGCACAAGACAGACTAGGTTTCTAAATTGAAAATACAGTCTACTTCCATTCAGTTTGGTCAGTGGCTTAGGCTTACCTTTTATATTTATAAGTTAATAAAGAATGAAAATTATTTTTCTGCTATCACACTAAGGGAAATTTAGACAATAATCATGAATACTATAAATGAAGATGAAAGATAACAAAGTAGTTCTCAAAATCATGACTGTGAGATTCTTTCATAGGCACACTACTTTCCACACAGATTTCCCATTAATATTTCATTTTGGTAGAAAGAATACTGGTCAAAAAGATCAAAAGAATTGACTTCCCATCCACACCTCTCACCAGCTGTGTGAACTTGGCCAAGTCAATTAAACTCTCCAAGTTTTACCTTCTATAACATAGAAAAAATAATATCTACCCTGCCTGAAATTTCTTAGACAGCAATTATAAAGATTCACTGAGAATTCATGTGAAAACTCCTTGTAGGTTATCAAGTACTTGGCAATTTTAAGGGCTCAATATTTATGAAGAAAAGTATGTATTCAGTACCAGGAATTGAGCTAGGCACTGGGTAAATAGTAGAGATCTAAATAAACCCAATCCCTGCCCTCATAGAGCTTACAGTCTAGTGGGAGAAATGTGGTTAAAAGGAAACAAACAAATATGTGTAAACTTTTTTAAATTGTGCAAAATGATAGGAAAGACAAGGACAACAGGTTATGGGAGAAAATAACGAGGGAGACCTACGTTAGACTGCACAGTCTGAGAAGGATTCTCCGAGAAAGCAATGTTTAATCTGATACCTGAAGGATCAGTAAGTCTATCACATGAAAAATGGGATCAAGAGGAATTCTAAAAACAGAAAAAGTATATGCCAAGTCCTGAGTTAGTCAAGACCTGGATTCATTCCAGGAACTGAAAGAAAACTCTGCCAGTTGTAGCCTAGTGAGGGCTGAGAGTGGGACAAGATGAGGTTGGAGAAGTAGGTAAGAACAAACCATGCAGGACCTCAGGGGTGCGAGTAAGAAGTTTGGATTTTATTACGAGTGCCATAGGAATCCCTGGAAAGGTTTTAGTAAGAGATGTAACATTTGTTTGAAAAGAATCAAAGTGTGAGTAACTTCACAAAGAGGTGATCAGTGTTACCTGATAGCACAACAAGCAAATATACAACTAATAACAAAAATGCATGGCTTCAATCAAAGATCTATGTTTTTTTGTTTGTTTGTTTGTTTTTGAGACAGAGTCTCACTCTCTTGCCCAGGCTAGAGTGTCATGGCATCAGCCTAGCTCACAGCAACCTCAAACTCCTGAGCTCAAGCAATCCTCCCACCTTGGCCTCCCAGAGTGCTAGGATTACAGGCGTGAGCCACTGCACCCGGCCAGAGATCTATGTTTCTCTAAATACCATCCACCTTTAATCTTACCACATCAGCTGGGTGGAATTAGTTCTAAGTAACTATTGGAAGAAAAAACAAAGCAGAAATTAGTCAAAATAATCCATAATGAAAAATAAACATAGCTTAAAGCATCATAGGTCACAGTGTCTCATGCCTATAAGCCCAGCACTTTGGGAGACCAAGATGGGAGGAACACTTGAGGCCAGGAGTTCAAGACCAGCCTGGGCAACAGAGAGAGGCCTGTCCCTACAAAAAAATAAAGTAAAAAAAAAAAAGATCCAGGCATGGTGGTGCACACGTGTAGTCCCAGCTACCGGGAGGCTGAGGTGGGACGATACTTGAGCCCAGGAGTTTGAGGCTGCTGTGAGCTAGGCTGACACCGTGGCACTCTAGCCTGGACAACAGAGTGAGACTCTGTCTCAAAAAATAAATAAATAAAATAAAATAAAAAATAAATTAAAAAAAAATGCAGAGTTAAAACTCTAGGAGTTTCTACCTATGGTAAACAGAAGGTATTACATTATGTAACAGTTTATAAATTCATACAACATCAGCTGTGCCAAGCCAAAGGCATCTGGTTTTAATGCTGTTGCCATGGGCCCAGTTACTCTGAGTTCTTTCATTTATTGATGTTTTGCACCAACATTGTTATGGCCCTCCATGGTGACAGTGTGGAAACATAAGAGGAAGATGTAAAATACTGACAGGCTAGTGATGGTAAAATCACACTCACGGCAAACTAATAAGTGAACTGAAGTGCTGTTCCATTTCCTCATCTCCCCAGTGTGCAACAGGAGCCAGCATACAAGCAGTGGGCTACAGGCCAACGGTCTTGAGTTATATGAATTTCGTTTATGATTTTCACTAGGAAAAGATTTGCCTTCACCACTACCTATAATCCTGGTTTTCCATGGTGTCTGGAGCTTTCCCCATGACCAGGGTCCATGAAGTGATCCGTCATATTTGTGGGTTTTCAAGGCACATCAAACTTTACTTCCAAATCCCAAAACTGCCTTCAGAACTGGACTTCTGGACTTGTTATTTGAATTTGGAGAAGCATGATTTAGTAATAAAAAGAGGGAATCAACCAATTGTTACTAAGTTAATAAGGCTCTAAAGGCTGCCACAATAGTGTGAGCCAAAGGCTGCCAATGGTAGTGTCTGTTTTCATAATTGAACACAAAGTAGAGAAAAGAGACCTGGAATTTTGGAAGCTACTATCTGAAGAAATTGGAACTTGTCCTACATCTCACGTTGCCCCTTTCACTGGACAGCAAAAGGGCAAATGGAGATGTAATCTATTAAAGCGATAAAAGCCACAGAAAAAAAATACAGTTCTGTATAATTAACATTTATATTTGTCTGTCTGCCCATGACTTAGAATACTGGCTGATTCTGTAAGAGTCCACAGACTCTGAATAAACTCTGAGCTAAACAGTCTCCCATTCTGAGATGTAGATAAAACATAATCAATCCAAACTTCTAAAGTTTCAGGCCCCAGTTCCACCTACTGCTTTCATTTCCATTTGAACTGTTCTCTTTCCCAGGTCAATCATACCAATTTTCTCTTAGCTTTCCTTCTGTAATAAAGTTTCCACATACCTTACTGTCTTGGCTGATCTCTTCTGAGTAAACTCCTTCTTAAATGTGATGCCCAAAACTGTATATATGTCTAACCACAACACAGGATAGGGGAGTATGTTCTCCCTATTGTATAAACACTATTCAGTGCCACTAATTGCATAATCAAAACAAAGAGGAAGCACTCCAAATTCTTTTCAAAATATTTTATGTTAATAGATTGTCATGATTGTTATTAAGACTCTAATGACAAGCCATTAGAAGAAACACTGTGAAAGGGAGACTCTAAGAAGTCTAGAGACGACAGAAAGCCAGGTACCTTTTCAAATGCTGTTACTACAAAAACCAGTGGTAGGTTCCTAACCTCAGGTACTCATGTTAGAACCTGGCTGAGCCTCTAACGAAACTGTTAAAAACAAGTTAGGTCTTCCCAATTCACAATTTAAAAGATTCTTCTAACCAAAATCAGGATTTTAGTTTCCCCTTTGCATCTTGTTGGAGTCAGTTCAGTGTTCTATAATCACTATTCTGATTTCTATTCCTTGTCACATACCAGCTTTGAGTGGCTTGCAAATTTAGCAAGCATGCCTTTTATCTTCATTTAATTCTTTAACCCATTTTGGAGCTTAGAAATCATATTCATCTCAACCTATTCTCTTTGGTACCCATTCTACATCTGGCCAAAAAAAAAAAAGGTTCATCAAAGAGTGAAAAAAGCTGAGGGACTGAGTGAAGAAAAGAGCTAGGTAACATGCAAAAGTTAATGACAGGGTAGCCAGAGAAAAAACAAAGTATAGCTTGGAGGCTGGAGTAGTTCAGGCCCATTTTAAAATATCATGGCAAGCTTCCTGAATAGTATTGAGCTTTCCAAAGTACAGTCAATGACCATATATGGCAATGGGAAGGCTGAAAGAACAACAAAAGGTGAAGAACTGGTAGTGCTGTATTTGGCTTAGGGACACCTAGTCTAGACATTCATGTGAATCCAGGTCTAAGGAATAAATTTTTACAATTAGCTCCTGCTAAGGAGGAGGTGCAACACGCTCTTCATCAAGAAGTAGAATACAAATAGGGCACCCTAAGAGTCAAAGGGCAACAATTTGTATTCAAAATCATGGAGCACCATTGGGAAAATCCTTGTCACTATTGCAATAATATTGTAGGATTCCAGGACATCCATCTTCATGATCTTTGGCTCCTTTTATAACCAGTCAAATGACTAGGATTGGCATCATATCTTTCATGGTCACTATATCCAGACCTCAACTATCATGGCAAAACTGAAGCAGGTGAAGAACTCTTCATTATGAGCCAACTTTCTCCTTGAAAGCTAAGGCCTATAGCTTAGAGAATAAATATATTCTCTCTATATAAGAAAAAAATCTCTCCTTTTCTCTCTCTCTCGGGAAATAACTCCTCCTTGGCTTCCTGTTGTGATATTATCTCCCCAACACTAAATACCTCAGCAGCAGCTCCAGCATTGGAAAGGTTTATCGTATATGCTGGAGGCAGTATGATGAGGTAAAGGCAACTGCTTTAAGAAACTCTGGGTCAGCATAAAGCCATGGGTCTGGAGCAGACTAGATGTAGCACTAACCAACAGAACAAAGATTACAAACTCAGAATTTCAATATGGTCCCAAACCCTGACCTCCAATGACAAGATAGATTTCTTACGTGATGGGCCTCCCCCACCTATATGGCACCCATTGATGATATTTGCCCAGACAAGCATGGCTTATAAGGCCCTCCATAATCTGCTCCCTGGCTCCCATGCTAGCTTCATCTCATGCTACTGTCTCCCTTTCTCTCCACACTTCAGCAGCTCTACTGGTCTTCTTTCAGTCCCTTATAAACCTCAAGCTGTTTCCTAATTGAATCTTCAGAAGTTCTGCTTTCACTATTGCAGATAAGCTCCTACCAGAATGACCCTCACACAGTAACTATAAACTCTGGACATAATACAAAAGGAAATTATATAAAAATATTGGAGAGTGTACAAAATCAGGCATCTAGAGGAGAGTAGACAACAAC